GGACATGGGGGGCCATGCTCGCAGATTAGCGCCCCCTCCATAGATCATAGGCACGCCAAGGACATAATAAATAATCTGCCCAAAGGTTTTAAAGGTAAAAATCAGCAAACCATTAATAACGTCCCCGGCTCCATACATCACGCTGAAATCTTCCCATTACCGCTCCCTGAGCCAATTCGCATTTTCCAGGCTGTTTTTTTTTCGTCCCTTTCCAGTGTGTTCTGCCATAGGCTTGAAGCCCCTCCCTGCAGCCTGCTGAGTGGGAAGGATGAGAGTGTGCAACCCTTCCCGATTCACCACAGAGGCTCTGCTCCGGTGTGTGGAGGGATGAGCGAAGGAGAGGCGTCCCCCTCTCTTTCTTGAGACCCCATGTTTCTGCTTCCGCTTTTCCTCGAGATGCATGGGAGGAAGTTTGCCTACCTGCCCCTCACCCCTGCCTTTAGGTAGGAATAACTCAGGCCTCTCTCTCTGAGAGAGAGGTTCGATTAATTAATGCAACAGAGTCACTTTAAATCAGAAAAGTGCTGCAGGCTGCACTTTCCAATCCCTGGTGTCCCGTTGCTCTGAGGAGGCAGCAGAGGAGACGGCAGGGAGCCGGGGCCCAGGCTCTAAGCTTTGGGTGCGTTGGCTGCAGTTTATCGTTTGAGGGGAACCAGTGGTATCAAACAAATCAGGAGCTGGAATGGGGAAAACTAGGAAGCGAAAACCTTACCCAGCAGCCTGACGGCCTGTGACGTAGGGCGGCATTGGAAGATGGTGACAGTGTGGCACTGCAGGAGGCCGTGTCAGCCCCATGTGGCCTCAGCTTCTTCAGTTAGAAAACGCAGCCCTTTGCAGCGGCCACAGGCCACTTTCCGAGGGTTCTTTGAAGGGTATGTGGATTGAGTAGCTCCTAAAACTGCCCCAAGAATTAAGTGGTTTCTTGGGTGTAGGATCAACCCTGAAGACAGAAGAATTCCATGTTAATTACTGTTCCCTCTTACGAAGGTCCCCTACGAGACCACTATATGGTGACTTTCTTGGAAGTGTGAGGAAGGGGATCCCGTCTCGGCCCTTGCGTGACGTGAGCCGGATGACCTTGGACCAGCCCCTTCACTCCTGTGGAACTGTTTCCTCATCTGCAACATTCCGAGAGTCCCTTCCCGCTCTGACTGTTGGGCTGAGTCACCTCCCTGACTTTCCCATCAAAGAACAGAGCCAGGTGCTGGTTCTGCAGAACCTTTGGATTCGTCCTAGGTTGGGGCCTGGGATCTGCCAACCTCAGCCTTTTTCAGGCTTCGCTGAGACATAGACCTCTCCATGACTCGGCGTTCTGTTTCAGTCCCCCCGAAGTGGGTGTCAGAAGTCCACCCGTCCACACCTCTCATGTGAGCAGCACTGCGTGTTTTGCAAAGCCCGGCCTGGTTTCCTTCGGCCCTCAGGATGTTCCAGTGAGTAAGCGGGTGGGTCTGCTATACCCATTGGATGGATGGGGAAGCTGAGATGGAAGGGTGAAGGGAAGGAAATCCTGTAAGAGGCTTCCTGGGGAGAATACCTCAGGTGGTGACAGCCAGTAGTGGGGGCTTCTGAGAGCCCCAGGAGACAGATGTCTGCTGGACAAGGATAGTCCCTCTTCGTGGATAAAGGATGTGTCCCTGGAGCATCCGAGGGTTTGGTACAGACCACACACACTGTGGACCAACTCAATGGGAATCACATTTCACAAAAAAGACTCAAATCCCTTGGGCCTGCGTGTGCCGCCCCGAGCTGACTCCGCAGGGTGATTTGAATCAGAGCCCGAGCCGGCAGAAAGAAGACTGGGCCCCACGACTACCGAACGTGCTGACTTCTCTCCTTTCCAGTGGGAGCTCTCAAAAGCCCAGTGTCCTCCTGGTGGGACTCCAGGACCAGATCAGCTCAGCACCCTGTGTCCTGAGGGAAGCCTCAGCCCAGTGCAGGGGCCATGGGGTCACAGTGGCAGACCTCGAAGGCCCTGCTGGCAGACCCCTTCCGTCACGCCTTCTCTGCACCTATAGTTGGCCCGACTGCCACACTCTACCTACCAACCATGTAAAATTCAGGGCGAGTTACCAAGGTCTCCAAGCCTCGGTTTACCCATCTATGACAATGGGCCTGACCCCTCCTGACTAAGTGGTTATGAGAATTAAATGGCATGATAAATGTGGACATGCCATAGTAAATATTTAATAAATAAGTTATTACCGTGACGGGTCGGAAATCATTTGTCTGAAGAGGCATAGAATGCTCCCGGAGTTCAGCCGCGGAGAGAAAACATGTTCAGACTGGAGGAGAGTGAGCTGGGAAAGGGTTTCACAAAAGAGATAGTTTTTGATGGGCACTTTGAAGAAACAGCCGGGTTTGACCTGGAGGAGTCGGGAGCTGAGGTGAGGAGATTCCAGGGGATGGGACAGAAGAGTCAAAGGTCAAGAGGCTTAGGAGGCAGAGAGGGTCCAGCCTGACCCAACACGGACGTGTGTGGGGAGGGCTGAGTGTTTGGGCCTGGATGCCTGGCTCCAAAAGGCCTCAGCCATCACCTTGGGCTGTGCTCTGCGGCTAAGGTGTCAAATCTGATGATAGAATGCGCTTTGCCACCAGCCGTCCTGAGAGACTCTGGCTTCCCTCAACTCCCTGTCACCGTGACAAACCCTCGGCCCCCTCTCAGACCTTGATGGATGGCTCCTATGCTGGATTTCATACATCTCCGTCTTCCCCAGAAGCTGTGACACGAGTAATTGGTGTCACCTCTGTTGATTGCATGCCAAGTGCTGACAAAACAGTCTGTAACAGGGAGCTCCGTGTACTGCCTTTGATCGTGGGGGCGAGGGAGCTGCTGGAACTGACCTGGTGCGGCCCCAGCTCTCTAGGGGTGACCAAGGCAGAGGCGGCTGGCCCAGCTGGACCAGCTGGGAACAAATGCAAAGGTATCCTGGCCTTGATCTGGAGAATGTGCTAGAATCTTTCTAAACTGATGCAGCTCGGTGCTTGGTATCCAGAGTTTGCCCCCAAGGCTGCACCTGGTGTCTGACACACACCTCTCTGATCAATGTAGTCCACGGATGCTCAGCATCCTGGGGACGTGGAGGCGGACACCCTCTAGAGGTCCCCTGGCTCCTGCCAGCAAAGCCGCTATCCTCTCCCTGTACAGACAGATGATGCATCTAAGGTTAAATGAGTTTCACCTACAAATACAGATTGAGGTGTGGGTGAGGGATGGTATTTGGGGGTGTGGGGACTTAGAAAGGTAAAAACCAGGTCCCCTGCTCATGACCATGTAGACCTTGCATTGGCGGGGTCTAGCATGGCTGGCTGTACTGGGGCCTTGAACTTTCTGACCTTCAGGGTGGAGAGGGGCCAAGTAGCCTCTCAAACTTCTCATCTTTCACAAGAGGATGGCACCCCACGCACCACAATCAGCTTAGCAGAGAGGTCTGCTTTGAACGGGACCACAAGGGCCCTCCCAAGTATGCCAGAGAGAAATACCTCCCACCAGAGAGTTCAACTGAGAGAAACAGGGTCCGTGGAAGGAAGCCTGGCGTGTGAAACGTCCCCTTCTCTCAATACACTAGAAACTGCCCCTTAAAAATATGCCTAAAATTAAGCTGAAACAGCAGACAGCTGCATCCAGGCACCGTATCCCGGCGTCCTCCTGCAGCGGCCTTTCTTAACGGCCTCCTGCCTGACGGGGAGAGAAACTCGGAGAGGCAGGCTCCCCTCCCCGGAAAGGCACCCACTGCCTCGCTCCGAATTCTCTCCCTGAGGACTTGGGGCAAAAATTGGTCTTCGGTTTTAGTATCAGAAATAACTTTTTCGAATTTCACGGGGTTGTTTGTCTTTTGGTCCTTCCAAACAACAACTTGCAACGGATCATGTTTCCCATGGCGACGGCTGCGCTGTGGCTCCTCCAGCCTGCATGCCGGACTTCACGGCAAAAACCGCTGTAAACGTACCCTCCCTCCTGGCCCCACTTTACTTCCCTTCCCTTGTGTTCTTTTCCCCTCAACTTTTTCCCTTATTTTATCCTCTTATATTGTCTGTATCCTACAGGTTTGTTTATGTTTCTTTATGTCTTTTTCTGTATAAGGTGAGCTAAGCAATGAGTAAACAGACACCGTCTCAGTTCCCTTGGTCTGAATTTTGTACAGGAAAGAGGCAAAGATTCTTCGAGATGCATCCTTTATCCTTTGGACCAGCCCTCCCGTGGTCTCTAAGTCTGGCCAGAGGGGTGGGGGGTGGCTGATTACATATTCTACACACATTTGTTCCATACCAACCACATGCCATGAGCCAGAGACAGCACGGCAGTGGCACTCAGGGCACCTCAGTGGTCACTCCTGGCTGAAAGCAGAGGCAGCTCCTCTGGGCGACTTTGTCAGCACCTTCAGGCACTCAGTAGCTGAGAAGACTTGGTCTATGGTGGGCCAGAACACAAGTGTTTGTCTACCTGCTGCCCCCCTCCCCACCCCGGTGCCCAGGCCACCTGAGTGATTGGCAGCCCTGTCTGGGTGTCCTCTGTGTCCGGACTGCTCCGAATGGCCTAGGGGGTGTCGAAGAGCCTTCCTGCTGGGCGTTGAATGGGCAGAGAAGCAGGAGAGCGAGTTAGAGGTCCAGGGCCTCCTGGGATCAGCTCTGTGGTCATCCTGGGAGCCACTCTCTCCATGTTCCAGCTGTGGGACACTTGCCCTCCTGACCATGGAAGACTGGAAGGTCCCTTCTCCAGTTAATGATTTCCTGTCTGCAGCTGCCCCACCCACGGAGAGAGCTGGGGTCTCTGGGGTGGGGGAGGGGGGGTTGAAGCAATGGGAGGGACGGTCTCCCACCAGCCCTCCTTCCTGGGGCACCGGGCAACTCCCCTAGCCGCCTCGCCACCAAGCAGTCTCCGGCCTGGCCCCTGGGACTTGCAGATCCTTCCTCGATCCCGCCTGGCCTGGGAGAGTCCCCGCAACCCGACTCATTGTCCCACCCCTGCCACTTTTCCTCTGCCGCATTGTTCCCGTTATCAGCATCCTACACACTGCAGCGGCTGCACAGGAAAGCGTGGCTGCCGCTGAGGCCGCTGCCGAGGCCGCTGCTGGGGCCCAGGTGTCCCGCTGGCCGGGGCTGCCTGCACAATCGTGTCCCCCTGGGGCCTGTCCCAGAGTCCCGGCCATCTGCTTGGGTGGTGGAGTGCACGGTATGTGGCCATGCTCTATTTGTGATACCTTGGTTCTTGGTGTTTGGGGTGGAGGGCAGGAGACTCTGGGCCCACATGCTCCCATTTTCCAGGTAAGCTATCAGAGGCATGCGCAGTCTGTCCACCAGGGTCCCTACTCAAAGCGGACTTTCCTCCTCGGTTAAATGCAGGTCTGTCTACTTTATTAACAAGACCAAATAAGGCCGAGGAAATGAGAGCGTGACCGGCACTCGATGCCCACAGTTCCTGGGCCCTTCCTGAAGTGAGGGGTTTAGATTAAAGCCGGCCTAGTAAAACAGCTCCTTTCCAGAGTTTGGGGGAGAAGGATCCAGGGGAAGGGAGGAGAAACCCCAATTTGGGTCTGCATAGGGCTAGAATATTGCGGTATACATTCAGCAAATAGAAAGGACACCCAATTAAATTTGAATTTTAGATAAACAAAAAATGGTCTGTGAAATATGAGTATGTCCCGTGCAATATTTGGGACATACTTACAGTAAAAAATTTTTCTTTGTGTATTTTATCTGGCAACTCTATATAAGACTCCCTCGTGGGGTCCAGAAGGGGATGGGTCTTTCTGGATCTGTCTCATTCCTTAAGGTTTCTCCATAGCACCTTTTTCAGAATCTTCCAGAGGATCCCTGCAAGCTGGAGGTGGCTCTCCATTGAGGGCACAGGGGATGCTTCAAGTCTAATGTCCCCAGAGTAGCCTCGGCCAGACGTTCGAGCCCAGAGCTCTTTGCAGCCTCCGGAAGCAGGGCCACCTCCTCAAGGGGTGCGGGTGCATAGCCTCAAGTGGTGCAGGAGCATGGAGAGAAGCGTCCAGAACGGGCCTGGTAATCCAGGTGGACCAAGGAAAGAACCCTGGCGGAGGAGCCAACGTTCTCCCTGCCAGCGGGGATGCCTCGCCCTCTGCTGGCAGATCCAGATATGACAGGGTTTCTCAGTCAGAGATGGTCCATCAGGAATTAATTGCCAGATAAACCACCTTTACCATCTCTCTTCAACTCTTCTTTCTTTATCTTCCCTACGAAAATCTGAATTGTGACTTTTCTGTGGGGAAAAAAAACTCATCCTCATGAAAAAGCTTATTCTTTTTACTCTAACCAAGCAGGAACTCAGACAAAAGAAAATATAAAGTGCACAAATTTTGTCTCCCAGAAGGAGTGCACTCAGAAACTTCTAGAAACAGAAAAGTACACGACAGTCTGTGAGGTAATGTCTCTCATTGTCTTTAATAGTGAGGGGAGCCTCAGGATGTCCACGGTGAAAGACGTCCTCGCCCCTCTTGACCCAGATCACCAGGGCGGATGCCATTATCTTGTCGACTGTACCAGGAACACAATTTTAAAGTCACTGGCTTTTAAAGTTGACTATTTGCTGTTTCCTTCTATGACATGGATAAGATGCTTCCTGTGGTTCCATTCTGTTTTAGCCGAAGGCACCTTCAAGCGACCAGAAATCTCAGGACACGATTCTCTATCTTCTACTCAACAGGCCCGTGACACAATTCCTGCAGATATCAGCCTCCAGACACCAGAGTGTAATGAGAGGGGCATAGCACCTCCAGCCCACGAATAGTGCTACTTCATGTACCGAATATAAGAAATAGCAGATACTTTTTCACCATCAAGTTATTTATACTCTGAATGGAAAAATGATGTGCTTGTGAGTTAATACAACTGTAAGGATTTATTACATATATATTTTGGGGAGGACCTCAATAATTTGGAGGCTTCTGAAAGAATGAAAAAACAAATCACAATAAATTTTTTAATAGACTTTATTTTTTTAGAGCAGTTTTAATTCACAGCAAAATAGAGCAGAAGGTACAGAGATTTCCCACGTACTCCCTGCTCCCCCAGCCTCCTCCCCGACACACAGCTTCCCTTATTATCAGCATCTCACTATTGTGGCACATTTGTTACAGTTGACGAACCTACACTGACATGTCATTATCACCCAAAGCCTGTAGTTCACATTGGGGCTGCTCTCAGTCTTATACATTCTATGGGTTTGGACAAATGGATCCACCATCATAGTATCATAGAGTAGTTTCACTGCCTTAAAAATCCTCTGTGCTCCACCTATTCAACCCTCCCTTCCCCTAATCCGGGCAACCACTGAACTTTTTACTTTCTCCATCGTTTTCCCCAAATGGGGTATTTTTAAAAGGTGAAAAACTCCACGAGTATAATGAAACCAGAAAAGTAATTCAGACAGGCTTCTGGCTCTGTCTATTTCAAATCTGTGTCTCCTCTGCTTTGTACATGCTTCCAGTGCTGGGAGCCTTAAGGCATATTCCCACAGAGGCACGACTTCCAGCCTGACGCTTTCACCCCAGGGCACTGGGGGGACTGCCATGAGATCTGCCTGGGGTCTGCCTGGGAGCCATTTCTATATCAGGACAGTTAGCAATCTTTAACTACATGGAAGTAGTTGAAGTATGTGTACATATGGCAAGTATGATGGAGGGAAAGTCAAAGTGGAAACAACAGTCTTGACCAATTTGTCATCAAAATATCTTACTTTTCCAAATTTCACATAACATGTGCTGTTTGAATACGTCTTTAAGGCACTCCGGCTAGCGATGAGGGGCTCTGACTTCACGGTAAAGCTTCCACTGCATACAGACCAAGAAGAAACCTCAACACAGATAAGGTTAACACTACCCGCAAAAATGTGGCCAAGTATTTAGTGAATAACACTGGTTATTTTCAGTGTTTCCAGTGTGTTGGGGACATTTTCCAAAGCATAGCCCTATAATAATGATTCTCATTTTTGCATGTGTTTTATAAAAACCGGACTTCTGACCTGTAAGCCCAATAAACAACCAAGCACTCTTTATTTATTGTTTAGAAGATCTAGCTGTATCCTGAACTCTCAGAAATGTTAAACGTAATCTGCCAATGTTCAAATTGGGCCCAATTTGTACTGTTCCAGACCTACTCTGTGCCCCACCCCAAGGACGTGAACATAGCAGGGAATGCTGGGTAAACAAGAATAATAGAGGGAAGGCATCTTGGGGAAGTAATTCAATCTGTTGCAATATGAACATGAGGTTCAAAGTCAATGGAACAGAACAAGAGGAAATGTAACACAATGGGTGCAGGTTGGTTTAAGGATTTCTTGACAAGGACGACTGCTTCAACAGGACTGAGTTCCCAAGTAAGATAGGGGAGGGCTTGTGAACTTATGACCTTCTCATCTAGTGGGCTGGTTTGGACATGTTTTGGAGGAGACATGAGAACCACAGTGAGATGACCACTCTTGGAGCATCTGAATCCTTTCTCTTGTCCTAGGTTCATGTTTGGATTGTAGGTAAACAGTGCCCTCTACTGCTAAGCAGCTTTCATGACAGCTCTCAGGGCAACAGGTGTCCCATGGGGGCTCTGTCTACAGGGAACTCCCAAAGGGGAGGGTAACAAGGTGGAAATGACGGTTTGAGCCATAGGACACCAAGAGCCTTTAACAAAAACAGAAGTTTCTGCATCAAATTTAAAGAGAACCAGGATGCCCTACCCCAAGGTATCCAGGCTGTTTTTCCACCTACAACTGCATCTCAAGGACTGCAAGCTCATAATGGCCCTAAAAATCCAGGTTGGCAAGTGCTTACCCCGCCAGGTACCAGCTGGGAGGCCTGTGCCCTCCAGGAGCTCCCAGCCGAGTCCCAAGCACTTGATTCTCTGATGCGCCAAGTTTCTGCTGTGAAGGAGGCTGCTCCCCGTGGAGATCTCAGAGTCTCCAACTGCTCTCCGTCTCTTCTCTAAACTCCTAGGCAGCTGAGGATGGGAAGGGAGAGCCTGAGAAAAATAAGGCCATGATAGTTAACCAGGGACCTAGAGGGCTTCTTGAAAAAAGGCCACTGGCATGGGAACCACCTCAAAAGATAATAAATAACAGTGACGGACAGAAGCAGGCATGAATGCCTCCCCTTTGATCTTCCGTTTCCTCCACAAGGGTCTTGGCGCCTGGGTTCAACGCTGACTTGAGCATTTTGTTCTACTGTTTGGGCCTCGGTATAAAAACACAAACGCCAACTTCCTTCTGAAGTCCAGGCAACCCAATGAGAACCAAGGGAAGCTCTCCAGCTCTCCAGGGACAAGGTCCTGCTTGATCCCCACCCCCCCACCTCCAACTTTATTAAGTCTATGTCCGGGGAATCTTGGCACCCTAATCTATGCTGAGGTTCAGGTGGAGGACTTGGAAAGTGAAAAGCCAGGCTTAATATCCTATGCATAGAGTAGTTTCACACACACACACACACACACACATACACACACACACACACTCCTCTGACTGTAAATACAGGATTCAGCCTATAAAAGAAACAATAAGAGCTGGATTCAATGAGGTTCCCCAGCAAATGGAGTGTTTAGGGTTTTGTTGGGATTCTATTGTGTAGACAGGAGTTTCTTAACACAGTAAGACAGCAAGCGGCTTCCTGTTATGGAAACAGCCAAACCCTGACATTCAGAAAGTCAATCTATACAGCAACTGGATAAACAACCAAGATAAAGATCGGCCATAATGGGCACAATAGCCAAAATGGGATTGCTTGGAGAAAAGGGGCTGGCGCTGGCCCAAGCGATGCAGAAGAATACAAGCCATCTCCTGCTTAACAATCCCTATTCATTGCACCCTGGGCTTGTGCACACCGCCCTGTCCTGGCTGCGGAGTGTGCAGGTACACAGCCCCGTGCTATTTATAGCTGGCTCGCCTGGAGCCGTGTGTCTGGCTCCCTGGGTGACCTCCTGAAGACCCAGGGCACGGTATCAGGGCAGGTGTCCCCTGTCTTTGCCAGCACTGAGATTGGTGTCACACCCCAGGTCCCACCACTCATGGGGGTGAGCTCATCCAAGCCAGTCCTTGAATCTGGGTCTTAGGTTCCGCATCGGTAAAGGCCACCCTGATAATGTGTTCAGGCCACTGCGCTCCGTTTCCTCTGAGGGCTGCACAGAGGACAGGGCCTTTGGCTTACAGAAGAGATAGCAGAAATG